GGGCACCTGGGTGGCTCAGTCGGTTAAGTGTCCGAGTCTTGATTTTGATCTCAGAGTCATGAGATTGAGCCCCACATAGGCCTCCGTGCTGGGCATGGAGCCTGCTTAAGATTCTCTCCCTTTCACACCTGTGCTGCTCAGTAAAGTAGCCACGAGCTCACGTACGTCTGTCTACAATCAAATGAATAAAATGTAAGTAAAAATCAGTTCTGTAGTTGCTCTCATCACATTTCAAGCACTCACTAGCCCATGAGGGTTAGAGATGGGGCCTGCACCCGGGCCCGACTCTAAAATCCATGCTTTTCCCACTGTACTCCATCACTTAAGGCTGGAATGCTCTGCTCAGTGACTGGACACAGTCAGCCGTGGCCACATGACCACCTGGAGCCCAGCAGTATACACTCTACCATAGTCAGGAGACCTTTTCCCCAGCATGGAGCAAAAGATGGAAAATGAGGACTGTTTCCATAAAGCTTTAACTTGTATTCTTTTTTATATTAAAATGTCCTTTGCAAAATGATGGTGATGATGAATGGTATTTTGGGTCCAGCTTGAAAAAAATTAAGACTTTACAATAGGCTAGGGTTATGGTTTTGTTTTTTTTTGGTTTTTGTTTCTCGTGTTTATTTTTTCATAAGAAGTGCACCTCAGATTAGAGAACTTGCTGTGGTTTCCCTTCTCGTCACACAGAGTATGGGCATCAGGGAAGCAGCACGGGGGTGGCCTGGGGACGATGTGACATTTTCACCTTTGTTGGAAGTCTTGACAGGATGCTTTTCGAAGTCACATGATCCATCTTTGTCATTCTGCTATTATAGAACGGGCTCAAATGAGGTTGTATAAGGAACCCCAACACGTGAAACGGTGCCGTGAGCCCCCCGCACACCCAGGGCTCGGCGGAATCCAGTGTGTAGATCTCTGCCGTAGAGAATAACTATGTCTTATGAGCTACTTTCTGTTCCTTTGTCTCATGGAGAAAAAAAATTTTTGGTGTTAAGTACTGCCGCTCACTGCTGCTCAGGCCATGTATGTTCCGAAGAGTCGGTTTATTTCTGTAGAGAAACATTCTGGGCTTTGCTGTAGATGGAAACTAGAGAACCACGCAGGTCTAATTACTCCACGTTGCACCGCAGAGGGCCCCCCCACCGCGGGGAGCTGTGTGCCCTTGGTCAGGTTTATTAGCCTCCCTAAGCCTCAGTTAACCCAGCTGTAAGTTGGGGTTAATGGTAACACTTACCATAGAAAGTTCTTGAGCTCAGTCGACAGCACACGCACTGTGCACCCCAGACCAAGGGCCCCTCCGGTTCCAGCACAAGGTGTGGGGTGCGCGGGCGCCACCTGCTGGTGAAGCTTCATGCATCAGGAGGCAGCATCCAGGTGACCTACTACCCTCTTAGGGTCTAAGCAGCCCCCAATCCAGGGTTCGCCCCACTCCCCTCTTCATCCCTCCCAGCCCTTGCGTCCAAAGGTGGTCTCCTAACTCACTCGAAACTGAACAGTCTCTCGGGTCCCTCCCTCGAAAGCAGCCCTGTCCGACAGAACTTTCTGACACCGTGGAAAGACGGGACACCTGCATTGTCCAATATAGTACCCACTACCCATGTGCAGCATTAAGCACCTGACATGTGGCTAAAGCAAGTAAAAACCTGAATTTTTATTTCATTTTATTTTTTTTTAAGATTTTATTTATTTGAGAGAGAGAATGAGAGACAGAGAGCACGAGAGGGAAGAGGGTCAGAGGGAGAAGCAGACCCCCCGCTGAGCAGGGAGCCCGATGTGGGACTCGATCCCGGGACTCCAGGATCATGACCTGAGCCGAAGGCAGTCGCTTAACCAACTGAGCCACCCAGGCGCCCTTTTATTTCATTTTAAACGTAAGCAGCCACATGTGGCTAGCAGTTACTGAACTCACGCAGCACCCCGGTAAAGCCATGCGCGGTTCTCAACCAGTCTGCTGAGTTCAGCTTCGCAGGGACCTCAAGAATCTAGATGACCAGGCCACACCCCAGATCGGTTAAATTCATCTTAAATTTGAAGCTTTCTTTGGGCACTTATGTACGGCCAAAGTTGAGAACCATTGCTCTAAGAGCAGCATAAGATCCCCTGGGGGGTTCCTGTGAAAATGCAGATCCAGATCCTTAGGTCTGAGGGGGGACGGAGATTCTGGGGCTCTCACAAGCAGACGCTGCTGGTCCCTGGGCCACCGTGAGTAGCAAGGCTAACCCAGCCCTCTGATCCATTCACTTATGCAAACAGTACTTCCCATGAGCCCAGCGGCCTGACGGTTCTGGCTCCGGGAGTTTGCATTTCTGGAACTATATGAAACTTCAGGACGTGAGAGCCTCCGTTTTGAGAAAAGCTCCATTTTCCATTCTAAAGCAAATGGCTAATGAACTCCTGAACTGGGCAAAAGGACCCTTGGACCTGGCGGGAAGTGGCCACTGTCTTAGAAGCAGCAGCTCGTATAGCCATCGGGAGACGGGCTTAGTTTGCAGTTACCCATTTTGAGAAAATCCCAGGAGAGGTACACACCCAAAAGTTAACCGTAGTTACCACTGGGAGAGAAGATTAGACGGAGAGGGAGGAAGAAGGGGGTCCTTCTGCGCAACTTTCAAAAAGTGAATCAAAATAACCATAGAGAAAAAAAACGAAGGCGAGTCTAAGAGAATTTCGCTAGAGGACCTAACTTCTTCCAAATCAGAGGAAGGCCTGACCTCCCGGTCAAGTTGGTGTTTCCTGAGTGTGTTTTGTACCTATTACTCTTCTGGTAAACGTGTGAAGGACCATAGCTGGTGGCCTCCTGGGACGCACTGTGGACAGCGTGGGCTGGGGCAACTGCAGAAAGCTGCCCCCAACCCGAATCCAGAAAGTTCCCTTCTAAGGCAGGAAGAGACGTGCAGATGTGATGAAAGAGCTAGAGCTGCGAGAGGATTACAGGCACTCTGGTGGGCTCTAAATGCCATCACACGAGTCCTTGTCAGGGGGCAGCAGAGGGACTGAAGCTGCTAAGCTGTTGGCCTTAGAGACAGAGGAAGGGACCGTGAGCCAGGGAATGCAAGGGTCGCTCAGCACGCAGGACGAGGTGAGGGAAAGGCTTCTGTCCTGCAGCCTCCGGAGGGAGTGGGGCCCTGCCAACCCCTGGGTTTCTGCGCAGTGAAACTCCCTTGGCCTTCAAGTCTCTAGGCTCATGGTCATGTGTCAGAGCAGTCCTAGGAGACCGGCACACAGCACTGAAGTTCCAGGACTGGGGGGAGGATAGCAGGAAGCTCCAGAACTGAAGTCCCAGCCACCTGGCTTCTCCGATTCTGTTCCTTCTTCTGAACATCGGGGCTACTACCACGCCTTTGTAATTCAGCGGGAGCACGAAATGAGAAGGATGTGGCAGTTGGCACACAGCGGGGATTCAAACACCGGCTCCCCTCCGCTGCCGTTTTCCCTTTAGAGGAACTGCCGAAGCCTGTCTTCTCCTACGTGCCCTCTGTGCAAATAAACACCCAAGACGCTGATGCAGCCGTTATCCCTGAAACTATGGCGTTTACCCATCATAATACACCATTAGATGTGGGCCCTGTAGGGAGAACTATCCCTTACCCTTGACCACTAAATTAGCTACTGTGCTGTTCATGTGCCAACCTGACTGGGCTAAGGGATGCCCAGACGGCTGGTAAAACATGGTTTCCGGGTGTGCCTGTGAGGAGGTTTCCAGAAGTTATCAGCAGCTGGTGAACTGTGCGCAGCAGATGGCTCTCCCCCAGTGTGGGTGGGCATCACCCAATCCATTCAGGGCCCAGACAGAACAAAAAGATGGAGAATAGGGGAGTTCGATCTCTGCTTGAGCTGGGACATCCATCTCCTCCTGCCCTCAGACGCCAGCACTCCTGGTTCTCGGGCCTTGGGACTTGGGACTTAGACCCTCTGCCCCCTTGGTTTTCAGGCCTTCAGACTCAGACTGGATCACAATACCTGCTTTCCTTTTTTTTTTTTTTTTTTTAAGATTTTATTTATTTATTCATGAGAGGCAGAGGGAGAAGCAGGCTCCCCACAGAGCAGGGAGCCCGATGCGGGACTCAATCCCAGGACCCTGGGATCATGACCTGAGCCGAAGGCAGATGCTTAACCGACTGAGCCACCCAGGCGTCCCAATACCTGCTTTCTTGGGTCTCCAGCCTACAGATGGCAGAAGGGGAGGCCTTCTCAGCCTCCATGATCATGTGAGCTGATTCTTAGAATAAATCTTCCCTTATATCTACCTACCTGTTCCCTTATTCTATTCTATGGTACTGTGTCTCTGGACAACCCTGACTAATGCAGCTAACGGACATAACTATTTCCCTAAAAGGCAGAGAAAGGAGCAGGGTGAAGGCTGAGAAGTCGCCGTGGTCTGACAGCTCTGCAAAGACAGGCGCTGCGTGTCAGGATGGGGAAGGACACAAAGCCTACAAGTTCCCATGGGCCATAAGCATCCATGAGGCAATGAAAGCCCATCCCTGTGTCCCGAGTGCAAAGGACAAATCCCCGCCTTACACACTGAACTTCAGCCCTATTCTGTGGACTAGCATTCCCTGGAGATGGGCTTCATTTTAAAACATGAAGCTGAAAGGATTAGCAGCGCGATTTATTTCATTTCGGTGTGCTGCACTAGCATACAGCGAGTCTGTGCATTTAAAAAAGAGGGCAGGCTGTCCGTCGTGCAAGGGCCGGAGATCGATTTCCTCCACCAGCACCGAGGGGAAACAAAGTGCTTCCTCTGGCGAGGTGACCATCACGCAGAACGTGACCCTGTCAGTGTGATCCTGACGGTCGCCCTTCTCAATGGAACGACAAGGGCCCAGAGCTTACAAATGTCAACGAGCAGAAAATGATCTCTACTGACTCCACCAGGAATTGAACCAGGAACCCGTTCTTTGAGCACTGTAGGGGGTCAGATCTGTGGGAGAAGCATAATCCTGGTCCCTCCCCCTGTTCTCCAGAAGGGTGTTAAAGATTTCACAGACACTGGCTTTGAGCACAATCACAACTTCCTTGATTAGTATCTCAAAGGCACTTAGGCACATTTTCATAGGAAAGGGACTGAGACATGAAGGACACCGAGCCATCCTCTTACCCCGAAAGGCACAATTCTGGGTTTGCAACAGAAGGCAGCTGTCCGGCCTCTATCGAGGTCAGGCCTCGCTCCACGCCTGGCCACGCCGCACGTTCTCAAAAGGCAGATTCCACATCACCCATCTCCACGCACACAGTCTTCAGCTGTGAATAATACTCGATCGTCACGCGGCCATTCTCTCTGCCGAACCCTGAAAGGAAGAGCGGGCTGAGGATGAGCCACGTGACTGAAAAGTCATGGTGACCGGCAAGGACAGGCCCGGCTGACTCCAGCAGGGGGAGGAACACACAACTGACAAGGTTTGGGACGAAGTCCTCAACTGCCCATACCAGCTGTGGAGCCAGGCACGGATAAAAGTGACCCACTGGCCTTCGGGGAGGGAGCCAAGGCAATAGCCACGTCTCATTTCTACGACAGGAATCCTAACTTAGGTATGTACCGTTGTGGCTGAGATCTGAAAACGTTCAGGCTTTCCTATCCAGTGTGAAAGCAGTCTCTACAACAACCGACGGACGCCTTTGAAAGTTGGTGCTAACTTGGGGCGCCTGGGTGGCTCCGTCGGTTGAGCGCCTGATTCTTGATTTCAGCTCAGGTCATGATCTCAGGGTCGTGAGGTGGAGCCCAGCGTCGGGCTCCGTGCTGGGCGTGGAATCTGCTTAAGATTCTCTCTCCCTCTCCCTCTGCCCTGCTCTCTCTCTCTCTCAAAAAAAAAAAAAAAAGAAAAAGAAAAAAGATTACTTCTACTGCTTAAGAGCTAACCTTATAGACTAACTTTGAGATTATGAAACTTAATAGAGATACAAAGATCTGATTGCATAGGTCCAAATGGGGAAGGGCATCTTAGCAACAAAATGTGGAAAACACAGTCTGCTTGATGTTCTCTCTCCCTCTACCTCTCCCCCCACTTGTGTGCACACCCGTGCACACTCTCTAAAATAAATCAATCAATCTCTAAAGATTTTTTTTCTATTTCAGAGAGCGAGCACAAGCAAGAGGAACAGGGGGCAGAGGGAGAGGGAGAAGCAGACCCCCCGCTGAGCAGGGAGCCCAATGCGGGGCTCGATCCCAGGACCCCAGGATCATGACCTGAGCTGAAGGCAGATGCTTCACCGACTGAGACATCCAGGCGCCCCCAAAAAAAAAAAAACAAACTAAAAAAAAAAAAAAAAAAAAGCTGGTGCTCACTAAAACTTAACTCTACATAATAGAATTTTCAACCTTTTCTTACACCAGATCTGTTAAGAGCAGCTTGCTGTTTATACCCCATCAACTCACAGGAGCAGGGGACTCTTCGGGTAGCGCAGATTACTCAAAGTCCAAGCACTGCCTGGTCACTGAGTCACACGTCACAAGGACAGCATCCCACACCTGGCCTTTCTTGTCATCCTGCCTCAGGCTTAGGTAGGCTCTGCCTCCAAAGGGCAAGGCCCGGTCCCCACACATCCACGCCTCCAGGGACACTATTCAAAAGGTGACTTCTACAGTGGCTCTGGCAAGGCCTCGCTCTGTCCTTTGTCCCCTTTCACACCCTCTGAGCACAGAGCTAGTTGGGTGGGTTAGTCCAGGTTGTTGCTCCTCAGATCTGGCCACATTTCGGTCTCTCTCTCATCCAAGACGAGACAAGCCTGAGCGCACGGATCCAAACATTTCGATTTGTGGAAGGGAAAGCTGGCCTAGGAGGGCCCTCTGAGGCCTACACTGTAGATTCCAAACTTTTCCCTGCACCGAGGGTTCTAGCTTAATAAAGCAGCGCCCTGGATCCCACTCTGCACTCTGTGCCTGTGTGCCCAGCTCCTCTGGGCCCCGTGCAGGGACGAGGGTGATCAGTGGAGCATGACCAGGGAATGCCGGGGTAATAACAAAACATAGTAAATCAAACTCTCAGATTAATACCCATCATCTCATCGGCTCTCCTCGGGGTCTGTTTGCCAACACTGTGATGGCCACAAACACGAGCCAAGAGGCCAGGGGTCAGGCTCTTAGCATGGTGCTGCTACAAAGTCGAAACCGATTTTCAGGGAAAGATATGGGAGATTATAGAGAATATTTACAGGCAATAAGCTCCAAAGAGAGAACCTCAAAGTAAGGGCTCTATCCTGGACGCCTCGAGGCTCCTCCTCACACTGGACTTCCACATGCGCTATGTTACAGTAACGCGTGCCCAACTGACCGAGTCCACGTAAGCGACGGGCAGCAGCTTAGGGACAACATTTCTGGTTGTAACCCTAGGGGCTGTCATTGTTGTTAAAAACAAGTTAATATATGCTTTCTGAGATGTAAGAGCCACTTTACATCTAAAAACTCCACAGTGGGGCACCTAGGTGGCTCAGGAGGTTAAGTGTCTGCCTTCAGCTCAGGTCATGATCCCGGGTCCTGGGATCCAGCCCCACGTCGGGCTCCCTGCTCAGCGAGGAGTCGGATTCTCCCTCTGCCCCTCTGCCCCTGCTTGTGCTCACTCTCTCAAATAATAAGTAAAATCTTAAAAATCAAATCGTAAAATAAAATAAAATCATAAAATAAAATTAAATTAAAAAATCCACAGTGAGGGCGCCTGGGTGGCTCAGTTGGTTAAGCGACTGCCTTCGGCTCAGGTCATGACCATTGAGTCCCGCATCGGGCTCCCTGCTCTGCGGGGAGTCTGCTTCTCCCTCTGACCCTCCCCTTTCTCAGGCTCTCTCTCATCCTCTCTCAAATAAATAAATAAAATCTTTAATTTAAAAAAACGCTCCGCAGTGGATGACAACAACCATCCCTAGTATGGAATCTCTGGGAGTGGATTTATGCCTCCAGCGATCACAGACTGTGAAGAAGAACTAATTCTAGCCACGAGATAAACTTTTTCGAGATGTCTGCCAGCTGTTCACAAGCTAAGCTGTATACACGTCAGAACCTTCTGGAGAGCTTTTTGGGGTGGGGGGGGAGTTGCTTGGCTTCCATCCCCAGAGACTTGTGTGGGTCTGGGGAGGACCAGGAATCAGGACACTGTCCCAGCTGATTCTGATGCACAGCCATGTTTGGGAAGCTGGTCTGTAGAGTCTGAATGACACCCCATGTCCCCAGAGACCCGGTCTGCCCTCGCGCTTGCCAGCCAGCGCCTCACCTGACTTCTTATACCCGCCGAAGGGCAGCTCCACTGGGCTGACGTTGTAGTTGTTAATGAAGCACATCCCGGCCTGCAGCCTGGCCACCACTCTGTGAGCGCGCTGGATGTCCCTATGAAGCAAAAAAAAACAAACAAAACGTGGTTATTCATAGTTTCTTTTGCTCCTGCTCTAACAGGAAAAGTTAGACTACCAGTTCTAAAGGTCTCAAAGTATTGCCAACTCATTTCCTCACAATGTGTTTTAAAATCTCGTGGCATCCCTGCAAAAGAGAGAAGGACTTGAGTTTGAGAGTCTCATCCGAAAGCATCTATAAAATAAGCAGCAGCAACAAGGAGGCCAAACACTTCGATGGGGAGAAAAAGAGTCTTTTTAACAAACAGTGCTGGAACAGCTGGCTATCCACACATCCAGCAAGTAGGAAGGTCAATACCTTTCTACAGCACATATAAATATGAACTCAGGTCACAGACCTAAAACATCAAAGCAAAAACCATAAAACTCTTCAAAGAAAACAGGAATAAATCTTCAGGACCCTGGGCTAGATAAATCCTTCTTAGACATGGTACCAAAAGTAACAGACAAAAAGAAAAAACCAGAATGGGACTTGGTCAAAATTTACAATTTTTGTACCGCAAATGAGACTATCGAGAAAATGAAAAAGACAACTTCGAGGCATGCAAATCAAAACTACACTGAGGGGCGCCTGGGGGGCTCAGTCAGTTAAGCATCTGCCTTCGGCTCAGGTCATGATCCCAGGGTCCTGGGATGGAGCCCCGCATCGGGCTCCCTGCTCAGCAGGGAGTCTGCATCTCCCTCTCCCCCTGCTCATGCTCTCTCTCTCTTAAATAAATAAAAATTTTTTTAAAGATTTTATTTATTTGGGGCGCCTGGGTGGCTCAGTTGGTTAAGCGACTGCCTTCAGCTCAGGTCATGATCCTGGAGTCCCTCGATCGAGTCCCGCATCGGGCTCCCTGCTCGGCAGGGAGTCTGCTTCTCCCTCTGACCCTCCCCCCTCTCATGTGCTTTCTCTCTTTCTCATTCTCTCTCTCTCTCAAATAAATAAAATCTTTAAAAAAAAAAGATTTTATTTATTTGTCAGAGAGAGAGAGAGAGCGCACAAGCCGGGGGAGCAGCACACAGAGGGAGAAGCAGGCTCCCCGCTGAGCAGGGAGCCTGATGCGGGGCTCAATCCCAGGACCCTGGGATCATGACCTGAGCCAAAGGCAGACGTTTAACGACTGAGCCACCCAGGCGCCCCTAAATAGATAAATCTTAAAAAGAAAAAACAAAAAACCACACTGAGACACCACTTCACACCCAGCAGGATGGCGGAAACCAAAAGGCCACACAGTAGCAAGGGCTGCCCCGGATACGGATGCGGATGCAGAGAAACCGGCCCCCCGCCACGTTGATGGTGGGCACGTGAGGTGGTGCTGCCTCTTGGGGGAACAGCTGAGCAGTGCCCAGAGAGCTAAGCACAGAGGCACCATGTGACCCAGCAGTTCCACTTCTAGGGATGTGCCACAGGCAGAAATGAAACACAGCCACACAGAGACCCAGATACAAGTGTCCACAGAGACATTATTCATAATAGCAAACAAGTAGAAACAATCCAAATGTCCACCAGGTGAATGAACAAGATGTACCCACGCAACGGAATATTATTTGGAGATAGGATGAGGTACAGGCACCTGCTACAACACAAAGACCCGAGAGAACATGCTGCTAAGTCGAAGAAGCCAGTCACACAACGCCACATACTGTAGGACTCCATTTACATAAAATATTCAGAATAAGCAAATCTGTAGAGCGAGCAAGTAGATTAGGGGTGGCCGGGGCCTGGGGGGAGGGGAGAATGAGAAATGGCTGCTCATATTCGTGGGATGATGAAAATGTTCTAAAATCAGATTATGGTGATGGATGCAGAACTCTGTAAATACACTGAAAAACAATGGGTAAATTAACAGTGGGTACGGTACATGAATTATCCTATAAAGTGTTAAAACAGTAACAGCATACTGAGTCACCCTTTGTGAGCGCCTCCATCCGTCCTGTGGCGGCAAAGCAAGAGCAGAGACAACCCATTCGGTGCTCACAGGGAAAAAGCAGCTCCTCAGGGAGGACTGACAGGGCCCTGACACTACTAGTCAGCGTGTTATCCTGACGGTGGATACCGCTGTGCGACTCCACAGGGTGCACAACACCGAGGGTAAACCCTGACGTCACTGTGGTCTTCGGGCAATTACGGTGTGTTCAAGTAGGTTCATCAATTACAACCAATGTACCCTCGGGTGGGGGACGCTGATGACGGCAGGTGGGGGGGTGGGGTAAATGGGAAATCTCTGTGCTTTGCCTTCCACTCGGTTTTGCAGTGAACCTAAAATTACTCTAAAAAAAAGAAACAGGGACGCCTGGGTGGCTCAGTCCGTTGGGCGTCTGCCTTCGGCTCAGGTCATGGTCCCAGGGTCCTGGGATCGAGTCCCACATCAGGCTCCCTGCTCCGCAGGAAGCCTGCTTCTCCCTCTGCCTGCCTCTGTCTCTCTGTCTCTGATAAATAAATAAAATCTAAAAAAATAAAAAAATAAAAAAATAAAAGTAAAAATAAATAAAAAAAAGAAACAAACAAAAAAGCAGCAGCTCCTCAATCTTTTCTTTCTCCAGAGCTCCAAGAGAAGCTATTTCTTTTTTTTTAAGATTTTATTTATTTATTTGAAAGAGAGTGAGCGAGAGAGAGAGAGAGCACAAGCAGGGGGAGGGGCAGAGGGGGGGAGAAGCAGGCTCCCCACTGAGCAGGAAGCCTGACCTGGGGGATCATGACCTCAGATGAAGGCCAACTGAGCCACCCAGGTGCCCCAGTGCTATTTCATTCATCAGACCCTCCAGGGGGTCCTGAGTCTTCCTTCCCAGGTTCCTCATCACAAAACTAAGAAAAAATTGAACCCTGTATATATCCCAAAGAAACAGCATAATTCCAAGTGTAAAGCAGTCTTGGAGAACTGCCTAGGACTGCCAAAGACTAATCAAAGTTTGTATATGATCAAGCAATCTGCAATCATTTTCAAGGAAATTTTGTTCCCAAATCACTTTTTACTTGTATTATAGTGGTTAAAGTTTATGTACAAAGATCTTAATCACAACTTTACTTACAAGAGTTACAACTGGAAACAGTCTACATATGCAACAACTGAAAAAAGGCCTACATATTTTACAACACATTCCAATTAGGAATTACTCTAAAGCCACGAAAAATCACCTTTTTGAAGAATACTGCCCAGTGTTTATATGCTTACAGGTTTCTAAATTCCTTGACATGTAGGTTTTCAGTAGGCACCCAACCTGATGCTTTACCGAGATCAGAACCTTAAATATTTGTCCAATGAATGAATGAAATAGGATAGAATGTTCATCAACACTGTTTAAAGCTCAATTTAGGGGCGCCTGGGTGGCTCAGTCCTTAAGCATCTGCCTTCCGCTCAGGTCATGATCCCAGGGTCCTGGGACTGAGCCCCGCATCAGGCTCCCTGCTCCGAGGGAAGCCTGCTTCTCCCTCTCCCACTCCCCCTGCTTATGTTCCCTCTCTCACTGTGTCTCTCTCTGTCAAATAAATCAAATTTTAAAAAAATAAAATAAAATAAAATAAACCTCAATTTAAACTCAACAGCAGGGGGCGCCTGGGTGGCTCAGTCAGTTAAGCGAGTGCCTTCGGCTTTGGGTCATGATCCCAGGGTCCTGGCATCAAGCCCCGCGTCGGGGTCTCTCTCTGCTCAGTGGGAAGCCTGCTTCTCCCGCTCCCTCTGCCCCTCCTGCAGCTTATGGTCTCTCTCTCTCGCTCACTCTCTCTCAAAAAAAAAAAAAAAAAAAAATCTTTAACTCAACAGCAGGGGCACCTGGGTGGCTTAGTTGATTGAGCGTCTGCTGGCTCAGGTCATGATCCTGGAGTCCGGGATTGAGCCCTGGTCGGGCTCCCTGCTCAGCAGAGAGCCTGCTTCTCCCTTGCCCTCTGCCCCCCTCCCCAACTCGTTCTCTCTCTCTCTCAAATAAGTAAATAAAAAATCTTTTAAGAAAATAAATTAATAGGGCGCCTGGGTGGCTCAGTCGTTAAGTGTCTGCCTTCTGCTCAGGTCATGATCCCGGGGTCCTGGGATCGAGTCCCACATCGGGCTCCCTGCTCAGTGGGGGGCCTGTCTCTCCCTCTGCCTCTGCCGCTCCCCCTGCTTGTGCTCTCTCTCTCTCTGTCAAATAAATAAATAAATAAAATTTTTAAAAATTAAAGAATAAAAAAAAGAAAACAAATAAACAAACTCAACAGCAGGGGCTCTGGCCATTCAGGGCAAACTGAGAGATCCTACTTGGGCACCTTCGGACCTCACCTGGAGCAGGCAGAAAATGCTGATGAACATGTCAACTCCAGAGAGGAAATGAGGGCAGTGGCCTCTCTGGGCAGACCGAGCATCCGTCCCCTATTTCTGCAAAGCTGCATGAGTGTCCTTTCCCACATACCTGGTAAAGACACCAGCCGCTAAGCCAAAAGTGGTATCATTGGCTCTTTCCAGAACCTCAGCTTCAGTGTCAAATGGTAAAATGGACATAACTGGTCCAAAGATCTCTTCTTTCACGCAGGTCATATCGTCTCTGCAATTAGCTGCAAACATCGTAATAGAGTCAAACATCAGTGAAGGAATGATCGTGCTTGGTGCTTGAAAATATCTTTTCCACAATTAAGCACTGAAATACACAGCGGTAAGAACGCCTTGAGAACCCTACTCGAAACATCGGATACGTATCAGCCAAAGTCTGAAAACCAATCCTCACCTATCTACAAAGATGGCAAGTCTACGTTCTCTTAAAAGGTTGTTCAGAGCTTGTGTATATACAAAGTACAAAAAGCATTCTGGTCACTTGTATGTCACATTGTACTTTGGGGACACCTGAACTATCTTGAAGATGTAATAAATAACTCTCAGGTTGTGCTTAAGGATAGTTCATTATGTTCTAATTCTCCGAAAACTAGTAATCCACATACGACATTTAGGGAAATGATTAGCCAGAATATTAAATTATTCAGGACAATCACTACCCAAGAATCCCAGGAAATATTTTATTATCTCCTGCAGGTTGGTAACACTGCATGGCTCTGTACGCAGTGAATTCTATGTCGGAGACTCAAAGGTGATGCGGGCATGAAGTAACAGGCGGCGGGCGAGGGAAGGAAAGGTTCCTGTCTGAAACGGAACACTCACTGTACTTTGGCCCACAAATCTTTTTTTTTTATTTTGTATTGTTATGTTAATCACATTAGTTTTTGATGTAGTGTTCCATGATTCATTGTTTGTGCATAACACCCAGTGCTCCAGGCAGAACGTGCCCTCTTTAATACCCATCACCAGGCTAACCAATCCCCCCACCTCCTCCCCTCTAGAACCCTCAGTTTGTTTTTCAGAGTCCATCGTCTCTCATGGTTCGTCTCCCCCTCTGACTTACTCCCCTTCATTCTTCCCCTCCTGCTATCTTTTTTTTTTTCTTAACATATATTGCATTATTTGTTACAGAAGTACAGACCTGTGATTCAACAGTCTTGCACAGTTCACAGCGCTCACCATAGCACATACCCTCCCCAATGTCTATCACCCAGCCACCCC